GTGTGTGTGTGTGTGTGTGTGTGTGTGTGAGAGAGAGAGAGAGAGAGAACCACTCAAATCTAGAGAGAGAGAGAGAGAAAACCACTCAACTCTAGAGAGAAAACCACTCGACTCGACTCGAGAGAGAGAGAAAACCACTCAAATCTAGAAAGAGAGAGAGAAAACCACTCAAATCTAGAGAGAGAGAGAGAGAGAGAGAGAGAGAGAGAGAGAGAGAGAGAGAGAGAGGAGAGATGGGAAACGACGAAAGAGATGGACGGATGGAGAGATAGACGAGATATGACAGGTATAATGGATAGGAAAGAGATAGATAGATAAATGTTGTTGAGATTGAAAATTAGACAAAAGTCGAATAAGACAAAAAAAGTGGACTGAAGTAGTGTGGACAGATTCGAGGCTTGTACGCAGTGAGCAGAAAGCCTAGAACGGCCGTCTTCTTCGCCGCTTTCTCCTGCGCAATTATGATGGGATGATTTCCCCGGTCCCGTTATGATGGGCTCATTTCGCCGCTTTCTCCTGCCCCATTATGATGGGATGACTTCTCCGGCCCCGTTATGATGGGCTGATGCTGCTCCCCTATTCCGCTTCTTGTTCATTGCCGGTCTGGCTACTAACTAGCCTGCCTTCTGTCCGCTGCATGCCGCGTTACGATGGGATACTGCTCCCCTGTTCCGATAAAGAAAGAACTTCGAGATGCATGACCAGCCCCTCCACCGGCATTTGCGACCCCTATTTTCCGCACCCCCATGAATACGGTCTACACGACAAAGGGAGCATCCGTTCTATAGACTAAATTTCCGACCCCTATACCTTTCTCGGCCTTTTGGCTAAGATCAAGTGTAGTATCTGTTCTGATCAGTTCAATATCTGATCCTTGGTCCATCGGACCACGCGATAAAACCCTCTGCAGACGACTTAAAAAAAAATTAAAAAAAAATAAATTGCGACCCCTATTCTACATCTCCCGTTGAAGCAGAAGCAGAAGCAGAAGCAGAAGAAGCCGATAGGAGCGCTTCTCTCGCTGACGTTGGCAGCAGCAGCAAGCGACCAGGCTCTGATTCTGGGTGCATACTCACGTAACTACGTGCGACTTTTCCTGCATGCATATGACTGCTATTGCGGCAAGATTCGGTCCACAAAGCCCTGCAGTAGTTACTTGAGTATATATTATATGCCCTGATTGCACAACTTTTCCCCCCTTCCTTACTCCCCCTCACCCCCCCAACTAATTGCTTATTCCGTCTCCTTTCCTGTTCCCGCTCGTCCCATCTCCCTTCCCAGTTCCAAGTTCCAGCGGCTCCTTCCGATCGATTCCTCTTCTACTCCGTCCTCAGAGGCTACCGGTAGCTCAGGTCCCACCAGGCGGGACCGAGTCCCACTTCTGATGATACTTCATTTCTGATCGTCGATCTGTGTAATCTACGGTCAAGATTTGAGAATTCCGGTACGTCGGAGTTGGTCCCCGGGGTTTAGTCTTTTTTTCTGTTTCTTTCGAATATTTTTTAACCTCGCTGCAGTGCGACCTCGGGCCAAGTCCCACTAGCAGCGTTGAGCTACATAAACGCCTGAATCTGGACGTGTTTTGTGGAGACGTGCAGTTCAGGAAACTCAACACCATTTCTGCACATCTCCGCAGAAGCGTCCGATTCGGGCGCTTAATCCCATCCACTTTGCTACCGTCTTCCCCCGAACATAACATAACGCACCCTAAAAATGAATGTATACCAGTTATATTTCCGGCCAGATACAGCCAAAATGAGGCTGCGTTGTGTTCGAGGGAAGACGGTAGTGGGACCTCGCCAATGCTACGCTCGTGACGCAGTGGGTACTTCAAGCCCAGCCTTCACTCGCTTTCGTCAACCGCATTTAAAAAAAAAAAAAAAAAAAAAGCAAAAAACGAAAAAAAAAAACAGGAACAAAAAAAGCGAATGAACCACATCGTCTTCACCAACCGACCACTCCTCCCGCCGTGCTCTCCTCGAGCAAGGCCCTACTTTCCCGAAATGATCTTTCCTTCTGTAGCCGTCAACCATCGCAATGGACGGACGGTCTGTGACGAAGAATCTGCCTGGGTAAGTGGGACCTCACCCAAGTTCCCGCTCACTGTTTTTTTTTTTTTTTGGGAACGCTCAGAAACTGCCTGGGTAAGTGGACCTCACCCAAAGTTCCCGCTCACAGCTTTTTTTTTTTTTTTTTTTTTTTTGGGAACGCTCACTGCTGCAACACCCGTCCCCTCTTTTTTTTCCAATTCCAAACAGTTTCCAGTCCTTTCCCCTTCTTGTTCCAGCCAGCCGACTTCCGCTTGTCAAAAAAAAAAAAGAAAAAAAAAAAAAGACATTCTGCTTGCCTTTATAGTTATATATACACCTCTACACAGGGGGAACAGTCGGCTTGCTTAGAGACCTCGACCCCACTCCACCCACCCTGTCTACGCCCTCAATTCTGATTCTGACACGAAAGCCTGTTCCAACAGGGTGCTTTTTCTTTCCTTTTTCCTTCGCTTTTTTCGTTTTTCGTTTTTCTTTTTATTTTTTGTCGTGTTTTTTTTGTTCCGACAGGTTTAACCCACCCTGCACCCTTGATTCGGGCCCCAAAATCTGTGTTCCCCAAGTCCCAAGACCAAGTGATATCCGTTCAAAAAGGATCCCCATGATAATCAAATTAGAGGCCTCTACGGTCCTGTACATTAACCCCCTCCCGATTCGAACTTTGTATCTGGAAGCATCGTCAGGTTTCACCCACCCTTAGGGCCAGATCCCACTAGCCCCTATTGTTCATTGCTGACCGTTGATCTTCGTAATCGAGGGTGGTAAATGAATAATCGAGGGTAGTGGGATCTGACCCTTAGCGTACAGGGTCCTAGTTCATCCAGCTTATAGCATACGGGCTGAAAAGCCTGCAGGTCTGTCCACTACAGACCGAGCAGGGGCCAAGTCCCACTAGCGGCGTCGAGCTACCTCAACGTCCGAATGTGGACGCCTTTGCGGAAGATGTGCAGAAATGGTATTGAGTTTCGTGAACTGCACGTCTCCACAAACACGTCCAGATGTGCAGAAATGGTATTGAGTTTCCTGAACTGCACGTCTCCACAAACACGTCCAGATGTGCAGAAATGGTATTGAGTTTCCTGAACTGCACGTCTCCACAAACACGTCCAGATCCAGGCGTTGAGGTAGCTCAATGCTGCTAGTGGGACTTGGCCCCAGCTCTTGGGTGCAGGGTCCCTGTTTTTTTCCGTATATCATTATGCTTCTGTTGTTCTTTTCCGCTGCCTTTTTTTTGGGGGGAGGCCGGGACGATTTCTCGATTTATGTCTGTCACCCTGTCACTCTAGCGCGCAGGGGCCATGCCGATCGATTTATTCCGGGTCATCCTAGCGCGCAGGGGGTCGGTGCCTTTTGCCCGACCCTGTCCTCTATGGTCTAGACGTTATTTGCTGAAATCGTGGCGTTTTTGTTTCGGGGGGAATTTTTTTATTTATTTTTGTTGATTTTCGGGGGGAATTTGGTTCAGGACTAAACGGGTCAATTCAATGTTTCAACGAAAAAAAAAACAAAAAAAAACGAGCAAATGAGTTGTCGTGTAGAGGTGGTCCCGGGGCAAGGTCCCACTTGCACGGATTAAGAGATTGTGGCCGTTGACCTTTGCTATCTACGGTCAATATCGCTTCATTCTTGTAAATGGGACCTAGCCCCCGGGCTCTCGCTTTGGCGAGATACCAGCAGCTCCGATAAGCTATAGCCGGCACTCTCCTTTGCGGAGATGTGCAGAAATGGTGTTGACTTTCCTGAACTGCACGTCTCCATAAAGACGTCCAGATTCAGGCGTTGAGGTAGCTCAACGCTGCTAGTGGGACTTGGCCCCCGGAGTTATCCTGGCAGCCTCAGTCAGTTTCGCTTACAGTTCGGCAAAACCAAAAACCGATCACATTGCGATTTACTCAAAAGGCAGAAAAATACTGTTTTCCAAGGGGGGGAAAAAAAAAAAGAAAAAAAAAAAGACTACTGTTTACCTACTACAGTCCATTCTTCCTTCAGGTCCGTTGTCTCTCATTAGACTATCCTCTTTAACAGCCTAGGGCGGCAACCGGGCCTTTTTTTTTTTTCTTTTTTTCCTTTTTTTTTAACAGTCGACTTCATTCATTATAAAATCCCGACATGAGGCCGGAGGCCAAGTCCCAATAGCAGCGTTGAGTTACCTCAACGCCTGAATCTGGACGCGTTTTTGCGGAGATGTGCAGAAATGGTGTTGAGTTTGCTGAACTGCACGTCTCCACAAACATGTCCAGATTCAGGCGTTAAGGTAGCTCAGCGCTGCTAGTGGGACTTGGCCCCGGGGACCTCACAATTCCACCCGCAGTTAGCAACCGGGCATTCCGCCCAATGAAGCCTAGACCTTCTCGTTCGCGACCTCGGAATTTTTATTTATTTATTTATTTAATATTTTTATTATTTTATTATTTTTTATTTTTTTGTGCGACCTTGCTTTCGTGCGCTACTCTTGTTTTCTTCTTTTTTTTCTCGCCCGTTTCTCCCTTTTTTTGTTCACACCCCCTTTCCTTGCCCCTTCCTCTTTCATTGCCCATTTGTTCTCCGTTCTCCTCTTCTTACGGGAAAACCAAAACAGATTCCACCACCTTTTTCTCTTTCATTCCCCGTTTCTTCTCCTCTTTCCTTTTCTTAGGGGAAAACAAAACAAATTCCACCACCTTTTTATGCCCTCCTCCACCATCGTACCAATCTGTCCGCGGTCCGTTTCCATATCTTTCCATTTTCAACCCGCCTTCGGCGGACCTTGGCCCCATATCTGCTTCAGGGGATCAGCTCCCACTGGGGCGTGGTCCTGGAGCAGCTCCCACTGGGGCGTGGTCCCACTAGCAAAGAGGATCGAATCGAATGCATGATGAATCTGGACGTGTTCGTAGAGAGGTGCAGGAAATCGAGATTGAACTGTTTGTCTGCATCTCTGCATAAAACACGTCCACATTCAGGCATTCGATCCGATCCTCTTTGCTAATGGGACCTCGGCCCTGGAGCCTATATTAACGAACAACCAACCGTAGAGATTGTTATCTCTCCAGCGTGCTCGCGTATGACCTTCTTCCTCCTGCTTCTCCTGCTACCACGAGACGGGGCC